TGTAGTTCTTCAATTTTGACCTGGTAAAATATCCATCTGCTTAATTTAAATAAAAAGAATAATGTAAATTAAAAAGAAATTTAAGTGCACTTTTTCATAAAATCTGTTGCCTGCAAGGAGCTCCTTCAAATTCATGTTTATTGTGGATCACATGCTTGAGTGATTGAATTAAGTTTAATTGAAAGTAGTATGTAATCCAAGTTACACAAATAAAACTAACGCTTTTGAAAATTTAAGAGGAGGTCTCTTTAACTATTGAGGTAAATGTAGCAGCTGATTCCCTGTTTGTCTTTGCCACAGGTCTGAAGAACTGTTGCCGACTACAACAGTGCCAGCATTCCAACTTTATTAAAACTACCAACATCTTAAATGGACTTTCCTGTGGTGGTACCCTTATAAAATGGATGACAGCGACATCAGTTTGCACATTCTAATCACTTTCCAGAGTCACAAGAGATTTTTACATATACATAATCTAAGTGTATGCAACTGGTAAAACCAGAGCCTACATCCAGTATTACCAGTGAGAGACAATGTTCATCTACCAATGTTGTACATGTATGAAACCTGTACTGTATACTGCAACAAACCCATACTTCCTATTGGAGAGTACAATAATGTAAATCGTAAAAGCACCACTATTTTAGCATAATTAAAGAAAGTCCAAAGAGCTCCTATATAGACTACTCCAGATAACTTTGCTTCATTGGTATTTGTAGCTTATTGTAACTTTTTTAAAAAAAACCCAGGATCATCATTGTATTGTACAAAAGCGCTTTGATTAACACAACAGCTATATAGTTTTTTAATTTTAGGATAAAAAAAAACCTGTGGAGACAGTGAACTAGTGTCTTTAAAATAAGTCCTTTCAGTATAATGTCTGTCTAAAGACATTGCCTTTAATATCTGTTGGGAAGGAAATGTCCAGATTTTTCAACCTTTTATTGTATGTTTCCTTTTCCTTGTTTACATAGGGAACAATGTTTATAGTTGTGTGTACAGTGGGGGTCTACAACAAGAAGTGTATATTTTAAAACAATTTTTTAATGATTTAACAATTTTTTGTAAATCATTTTTGGGCTTCTGCAGCTGTAGATTCTCACTGTGAATTCCCTTGCTTGCTCATGCATAAGTGTATTTGCAATACCAAATATACAGGTTTAGTACTTTTGCCTGTTAGTGATTGTTTTACATGTGTAACGTTTTGGTTGAGATGTTAAATGGTGGACGAGTACTGTGGATGTGAATGTGGGAAGTAATTTTAATCATGTGTAATTGGTCCCAAGGCCTAAGTTGCAGTAATTACCTTTTTGCAGATTTATTTAACAATGCCTTGTTGCTTTGTATGCATTGTTTGGGTGTAAAGATTGCGTGTAAAATCCAACAGGGAGCCACAGTATTTAAATTGACAACCTAATGTTACAACTGCTTTGAGGTGGCCAAATGTAAACTAAAAGCCTTAATTAAAAGTGGTGCAATTTTGTATGACTTAGCATCAGTAGTTCAATAAATTTGGATTGCCATGCAAGGGCTTGCATTACAACTACCTGTTCTGTCACAGATTGTTTTGTGTAATGTTTTACTGATCTCATTAACAAAAAGTTAACATGATCCAAAAAGGAGAATTTATTCTATAAAGAGCCCTGTCTGATTCACACATCTCCATCCTCTTTTACCATTGACCCAATTAGTAGCCCCCAACTCAGCTCCGTAAGCACAAGCCAGTATAGCCAGTAGTAAAACATTGTGGGAACAGTAGTGTAAATATTTGAAGGATTTCCCATTGTCTATATAAGACAATCATGGCTTTATACTATTAAAGGTACCTATGATTCGTTTCAATAGAAATTTTGCAGGCTTTGATCTGTATCCACTGAGAAATGTGAATAATTCCCATCATAATGGGTTGATTTTTCTTCTCTTGCCCCCAAAAGGAGAGAATATATAACTATCTGGTTCCTCATTCCTTCCAGTAATTTCCTTTCTTTCATCCTAGATAACATTTTGTTTCTCTTAACTATTTCTTTTGTGCCTTATCTGACTGCTTTGTTTTCTTGGACTATCCTTAGCTCCCGGGCTTTTTTAAAACTAATGGATTAAGAATGTAGCACATTGTAAGACATTCATGTTTATCAGAATTCTGATTATCTACTTCTCTATCCACCCACTTTTTTCCATGGCAAACATCACACTCCTTGTTCTGTCTTTATATATATGGTTTTCTACACAATTGGAAGAAAAACTACCTTTCTTTGACTCATGCATGCATATATTTAGATGCAGTGCTAGAAATCTATACAATATAAAAACTCCTAGAAAATTGAAAAAAAACCTTAGCGTTAGAATTTGAAAATTGCTTACCTGTAGAGATAAGATTCAATCTAGCTCTCTATAAATGAACAACTTTCATAATTTTGGCACAAATTGCAGGTGCTTTGTGATTTTTTGCTTAGGACCAGGGTAAGAGTTAGTGCAGTGGTTAAGCAATTGGGCTAGAGAGAAGAGACTCTTGAGTTCTAGTCCTACCTTAGGTACAAAGCCAACTGGGTGACTGGACTAGTCATTCTTTGAGCCCTAGGAAAAAGGCAGTGGCAAACCTGAAAAATCTTGATGAAAAAACTGCAGGAACTTGTCCAGGCAATCTTCAAGAATCTGATACAATTGAATGGAAGGAAAAATGACATAATGTATAGACCATGGTTCATCAGTTCCCTGGTATATTGATTCTTTGATGTTTATAGATGACAACTCGAAATATTACTACTTCCAAATCAAAAAGTTACTATGATGAGAAAGTGGATTCCCTTTCAAGAACTGCAGAGAATAATCAATGCTATGTTCACTGTGAGAATCACTTCACCTGATATTGGGTGCTTTACATAATACACTTGGGAACTTCAGAGTGGATGTGACAGCAAAAATATCACATCTATCAAGCAAATCAAAGCAGAACATGATCATTAATGGACAATAAAACATTCTTCCAGGACAAAATATATCCCTTAAAACACTAATACATTTGAAGGGAATCTAATGTGAAGGTTGGTTTCTTGAGAGTCACCACTTACTAGTCCTGAGAAAATGAAATTTCAAACTATTTCCAAAACCCAAAACAACCACAGCCATTTAAAAGTAGAATACTCACTGGAATCTTTTAGTAAATATTAATCAAGAGTTTTTAGACTTGTTTCTTTGGAGTAACTGCTTTTAATCTAGCTGCAAGGAGGGAGAGAAAGTTGACATTAACTTTCCTACCATTGTATAAATACTAGCTTAATTGAGTTGTAATCATTTTAGGAAGTAATGTGCAATAGCTGAAATGTGCACACAAGAGGCAGATTTTACATAGTTCATGAATCTATAATTTACTGGGGGTTTTCAAATGCCAGCAGCTGGAGGAATGAATTACAGGATTTTGTACAGCTGATCAAGCATGCAGAGACAAAGCACAACTTCAGGCAAATCCATAATCCAAAGGCAGATTGAATAAGAAAGTCCAAGATCCATATGTTTAGACACTAGGTCTATGTGGAAGAATTTTGTTAAATGCAGAACTAAAAGATTGAAAAAAGACCTGAAAGCATCAATAGAAGAGATGATTCCACCAGACTGTCAATCATTTGGAAGCCTGCTCTCACAAACAAAAAATTCTCCACACCACAAGCCAGGCAAACACCTGGGCACAAACATCCCCCCTGATACCTCCAGCTCAAACACACCCCAACCAGCCACCCAGATGAAACCTAGCTTCCTAATAAAGGATAGCCGTCCATTTACTCGGAGCCAAGCTGCACTAAAAGCCTCCAATACAGGAACACAATGTTGCCAGCCAATCAAGACAAAACCACAAAACAGACAGAAGATATTAGAAACACCAATCAAGCAGAACACAGCAAACTCCAAGACCAATAAACACAGACCAAGACTCCCAACCAATCAGGATGAAGAAAAAACCATTCTGGCACAGCAGTAGGCTAGCACCAAATTTAAAACTGAAACAACTGTAAAAGTCTGACTCACAGACGAACACAATACAGAAGCCTGATAATGGCAGATGAGATTCTGCCGAAACGTTGCTACAACTTTAAAAGCACAGCTATAATGGCGTGGGAAAATACCCGAACAAAACTGAATACCATATATATATTTATATGTATGTACGTATGTATATGTATAATTTTTAAAATTAAAATTGAATAAATCTATCTCTCTCTCTCTCTCTCTCTCTCACACACACACACACACACACACACACACACACACACACACACACACACACATATTCAATCTGTTAGTATAAGAGTATCCAAATGTTGCCTAGTTCATTGGGTTTGTTTCTCAATGCCTAATCTAGATGGCAGAAATCTGTTAACTACAAGGCAGCATAGGGAATTATATTACTTATGTTATGCTATCAGCTGGATATTTTCAGACAAATCCGATTGCTAGGAAAATTACTTTCTGAATAAAAAGCCAGGTTGGTTTTTAGTGATTAAAATACCAGGTCTATGAAAGCCAGCTGGGTGACTTTGATCCAGTCACTCTCTTTCATCCCAATCCACCTCATAGGGTTGTGGTTTGGGGGAAATGAGGAGGAAGAATATTAGCTATATGTTCGCAGTCTTGAGTTATTTATAAAAATAATAACGGCAAAATATTTAATCCAGGCTACTGCAGATAAAACCCACTCTCTCATAGTACATTTTCCAAATATAACAAAGAATCTATCTGCATACACACTCCAGGGATAACCCATCGTTTCGGCCTCCGAGTGCTGTTCCCCCAAACAGTTCAAATCTAGCGGGCGCCAAATTATCGCCTATTGCAGCAACAGGAAACAAGGCAGATCGACCCCATCGATGTTCAGAGATGGCGATGTAATCCTCCAAAGCGGTAGAGGGCGTCCAACTTGCTGATCTGAGGACAAGAAACTCGATTAACGTGCCTTTCTCAAGGCAGATAACGGATTTATAGATTTCTTTTCCATCCTGCAAACCGGAAGCATATTAGCATTCTGGGAACTACAGCTAACGTTGGAAATAAATAAATAAACGGGGTTTTCACCGGCCGGTCAGCCCAGGACCGAAGACATCCTCTGGCGGCTCCAACTCCACCCCTTCCCTCCAAAGGGTGCTTCGCTACCTAACTTCCGGAAGCGGGAACGCTCAAGTACCGACTTGGCGGTGGACTGAGGGCCCGCTGGTCTCAAATGTCGAAATGGACCGGTGAGCTATTTGGCCCTAGGCAGATTTGTTATTGTTATTACTGGGTTTTTATTATTTCAAACACTTGTAAAAAGGGTTTTACCTTTTTATGTTAAACTCAAAGGGACTAGTTTTTATTCTCAATTAATGGCATACTTTTAGTAGCCTGAGTGGCATGTCTAGCTCCAGGTTTTATAAAAAACGGGAAATTGAAGTGTTCCCCCTCAGCCCAAAATATATATGGCATAATCACCAAAAGTGCCGGACCCCCTCCCACATCATTCTTTTATTTATTTGGTTGGTTGGTTGGTTTGTCAATTGCTTACAAGATAATAGGTATAAGTAAAAACATAGTTATGAATACATGGATACATATAAGAAAAATAAAAAAAATCTGCTAGAATTGTCATCTTTTTTAGATCCCTTGCTCTTTGATAATTGGTCAGAAGTGGGGCTTTTGTCTGGTTAAAGTGCCTTCCGTGGAATTTCACATTTGCTAGATCATGTTTGCACTTTGGCAGAGTTCTAAGAACAATTAATATTTTTAACCTAAGAAAAACGTAACTCTATAGTGATTATATATATATTACTGTTTTCAAATAAAAAAGATAAGTGATTAAAACCTATTCAGGGATTATTTCATCAAATTGATGATGATTATGCTTTTTTTCACTCTTTTCCAGTTCAAAATTATAGCCCTGAAGAGAGCAGGGTGTGTGTGCATGCGCACATGTATACATATGCATAACTCAGAAACTGGATTTAACAGAATATGACTCTCACCCCTCATTGTCTGTATAAATCTTCACATGGACATGTGATTGATCGTGAAAAACTGCTTGTGTGCATGAAGAAGAAAAGACTTGCTGAGGAATATATTTTAAGTCTAAATTTCCCAAATATTTTTTTTCAATCAAAAGGAGGCAAAGCTATCCATCCTATGTCTGTGAAGACAAAATAATTTTCATTCTTATCTTTTCAGGAATGATTTTCAGAATACGTCTTCACAAGAAATGATTCAGCCAGTTCAAAAGCAAAATACTCAAAAAAAAGTTTCTAGTATCCTTTATTGTAGTAGTTAACATATAACATGTATCCCATAAATGATGTAATTTGAGAGATGCCCCTTGTTTTTGTGTGCTGCACAAATAGTGTCTTTTTCTTAAAAAAGAAAAAAATACACTCACTTGTAATAAAAATAGATGCAACGTTCCACGTGGTTTTAATCTTTAAAGTTTTTCAATGTTTCTCCTTGTTTGGATTGCATTTTAAAATGAATTAGATGGCAAACATTTCTTACTAATTTAATCTAATACACAAACTACCATGCACCATTTGTAATGGGGAAAAAATCATATAATACCTATTGTTTTACTGCACTAATTATAATATGGCTTTCTTGATTGTGGCATTAAGTAAAATGTGAACACTTGTATTTGATTTTTCTCTGCCATTAATGATTAGGTTATCCCTATTCTCAGTTAATGGAATAAGACAAGGTTTTTATTTAAAAAATAAATTTTGTGCATAGCATCATAGCTTGGTTGTCAGTAGCTAATCAACTAGGAAAAAATGGCATTTGCAGGGCCTGATGAAAGAGGGCCCAGCTTACCAAATTTTGATAGAACTTTCTATACGATGAGGCAAAATCTGATATGCATTTTCTTAGCTTAGCTTCCTTTCTTAGTCTTGGCTGCCCTAGATGACAGTTTAAGTGACATGTCTACAAGAGGATTAGCAGTTCCTAGGATGCCAGGGCTGTTTTCTCAATCTGGTAAGATTCTTTTTATTTAATGTCTACTTATATGTATTAAAAATGGCAGCTAGCATATAGTAAAAGTCCTTTAATAAAAGAGTCCTTTAAATTTCCTATATTCTACTTGTCATCCAAAATTCATTTTTCTAAATAAAATTAAGTTTTAAATACAAGAGTATCTGTTTTTCAGAGTAAAAAATCAGTAACATTTTTTTCCAGTTACTCCACGGAGTCGAAGTGCCCCAAAGCAGTCAAATATATCTACCAACCTAGGCACAGAGAGAAAATCGCCTTACTTTGTGAAGATTCCTGGGCACCTTGGTAATTTGTCTGTGGTAAGCGCATACTAAAAAGAAATGAACAGACTGTAGTGCATAAGACAGTTGAACCCCCTACTTATTACTTTGTGATAATCCATTATTATCACAAAATCTCAGAAATTCATCCAGCTGTGCTTAACATGTTCATGGAGATATGGATAAGGTAGCAGAGTATGAGTCTTTTAATTTTCTTCGTGTAAGTGGTTTTGGAAAGATAGCTGGTATATAATTCTAAGAGAAAAAATAGTACAAATGGGACCTGCAATAAGTTGTGCACTGTGTCCTACCTCCAAAACCAGTCTGTTTGTGACACCTGTTTTTTATTTCATCCAAGTAAGACATTCACTACATTCTTTTCTCCAAGCGATATGCCATGTTTTCTGGCTAAGGTGTATATTGAGCCCTGGCAACATTGGAGGATTTCCCCTTTCAAATGTGTCTTTAAATTTCAGTAAGTTAATATGAAAAGCCTTGTAAGAACTTGTTGGATCTTAACTATTCCTCAATGTAAGATAGCGATGTAAGAATATTTTGTAGTTTTTATGAATGAGTTATTTGGTCGCTAAGTAAAGAAATAGCAGTTACCACTGTAGTTATTATGAGTTTTATGAATTGTGCTGCAGTATTTGTCTGGGATTTAAAGAGGTTGAAAGTATTCAAGAAAGCCCCTCCCTTCCCCATTAGGTGGTTATGACATAGAGAACTATGATTGGTTACTATAGTGTATTCCCTTGACTATTCTGTATTGACTACAAAATCCAGGCCATCAGTACGCTTTGCTGTTGTCTCCTGGTTGTCTGAATTTCTTCAGCCCAGATAGGATGGCTCTAGTTTCTGTAATAAGTATATTTCTATGAAAGGAAAGTATCTGCTTACAGTCACTCATGCTTTGTGACCGCCTATCTGGATTCTTGCAATGCATTATACATGGGGTTGCCCTTAAAAAGCATCCAGAAGCTTTAACTGGTCCAAAATGAAGCTGCATGGTAGTAAATTGTGTCAGTTATACAACATCTTATGTAAGATCACTATTTCATGCATTGGTTGCCAATGTGTTTCTGGATGAAATTCAAGGTGCTGGTTATATCATCTTTAAAGGCCTTTGTGGTTTGGAACTCGGTTACCTAAGAGACTGTCTTCTCCCACTTGTTTCTAACCATCCAGTTTGGTCTGGCAGGATATGCATGTTGAGGGTCCTGTCAGGCAAGGAATATCACCTAGTGGGACCAGGAGACGTGCTTTCTCTGCCAAGTACCTGTCTTTTCAGTGGCCCTGACTCTGTTGGCTTTTCATAAGGCCTTGAAGACTGGTTATGTGACCATGCATAGGATTTCAAGTGTGTGAAACGCCCAGCTTCCTGATTATATTAACATACAGGGTTGTGATTTCGTCAGTTGCTATATAATTTTTATATTCTGTTTGTATTTGTTTTAATTGATTTTCTGATTGGTCACCACCCAGAGCACTTATTTGAAGTGGAGGCCATAAAAATTGAATGAATGAATTTATTTCCTTCTGTCATTTTGAAAGCTACAAAATCATGTCAGTCTGGCTTGATGGGAAGAGAGTTGGTATTCTCTCTTTACTATTTTGGAAGCTGTATTATCCTTGCTTTATTAATTGATTGATTTATCTTATATTTTTTTCACAAACCTTGTCTTGATACATAACCCCTTTAGAAATAATGGTACATTTATATTGATTGAAATAACGTTTTTGCAGCTAATAAAATGAATTTTTAGATTACATTTTACTACATGGATAAGAGGGATGTAATTCTAACCTCATAATGGCCATTTAGGTTATTCTGAATGTAAATAAAATATATTTTAATGCTCTGCTAAAAATCATTTTTATGAAAGCTAAAGGCTACCTCACATTTGTCCAACTTGTAATTGGGAATATGGTGTACTATTATCATCAGTGTATCTTAAAATAGACTGCAGTTAGAAAACAAATCTGCCTTGATACTGATAAAATGCTTTGTGTCTTAGTTAGATGACAGTGACTGGACAGTTGCCCTTACACCTCCACAGTCAGTCATGTTCACAAACTTAGATTATAGTGCAGCAGAAGATGTCACAAAGAGTGCTGTCTTCTTGAATGAGGATGACCCGGGAGAAGCTGGTAAGATGAATATCTTCATGTTTTATTTGAATAACAGTTTAACAATATTGATTAATGAAAAAAGATAAAATACATATTTTGTGAGTTGTTTAATGTACAGTGAACAGAAGGGAACTGAACTGAACTGAACAAACTTTTCTTCTTATATGCTCTTGGAATAATAATAATAATAATAATAATAATAATAATAATAATAATAATAATGCGGCACCAGTTTCTTGGAAAAGAAAGAAAACCATTGCTAGCCTTCTGGCCAGAAAAGAGTTTCTAGCCTTCAGAATGATTGCCTCTTTGCTAGCAAAGTGGGGGTGTTTCTGGTCAGCAAAGGTGAAATCTAGCAAAGATTATCATTTTGAAGGCTAGAGAGGCTCTTTTCTAGCCAGAAAGCTTGCAAAAGTGATTGTTTTAAAGTTTAGAAAGCCTCTTTCAGCGGTTGTAGAAAAAGGTAAAGTAAGTAGACCCAAGTGGGGAAAGGGCCCTACCCTCCCTTGTGACAAGTTTCTGCATGTCAGTGGTCTCTAGCCAGTCGCAGCCTCCTGGCTTATGACATGTTTCCACAGGCTAGTGGGCCTTGGGCCTCTCCCAAAGTACTCCTGTGCATTTAATGACTGAAACTGGGAGAGTTGGGATTGTAGTCATTGAGCAAAGCAGTCACATGAGCATCTTTTTTAATGACTGCTTCACTTAATAAAAGAGACTCCAGCCTCAATTGTCATAAGTTGGGGACAATCTGTATTATGACTAAAGCATAGCAAGAAATGATTGCATAAAGCAAATCATAGTAATGAACACATTTTTTCTGTGATTTTAGCTGCGCGAAGCATGTATCCTGACTTTCTCCATTCCTTGTTAAAGCATAGTTCAAATACTGTTTTTGAACTCATAGATGAATATGAAGATACTTGCAGTAACCAGGTATATAGAATTATATTATGTTATTCAGTGATTTCTTGCTTAACCAAAAATATTTTATTTAGAATGAACTTGCATAGTAAGTTTGGCCTTCATCAAATGTTGTAGGACATGGAAGAAATCTTTGTAGCTAATCACAAGAACCACTTTGCCAGTTGTCATTGGGTAAACGTAGAACTGGTTACTTGTAATATGTGGTGTAAAAGAAAGTTTAGTCACCGTCACCATAATTTCAACTTTATTATCTACGTTCTTCCCCTTTGCCTGTACTTTTCCTATCAGATTTTTGATTGTAAGCTTGTTTTGAAAGGAAGCTTGCTTGCTCGCTCTTTTTTCTTTGAGCTTTATGTTGCAAAGCAGAAATGAGGAAATATCCAGTTCTTGGGACCTTCAGTTACACTTTTGACAATCCAAGAGTTTTCCATAGATTATGATCATAACTAGATGGGACTATAGATACTTGTTTGTATTATCTAAAGTTTGATCAATCAATGCTTTTACATAATTATGTGAAAATAGTAAGATAAAGTAATTGATAACATAGAGATGATATAGACTAGATTAAGTCTTAGTAATGTTCATACCACGTATAGTATTCTATGCTAATGATAAGAATAGCACAGTAAGTCTCTTTGGCCAATACACTCCTATAGAATCAAAGCCCAATTATAGTCTGAACTTGTTTGTAACTATTCTGTGCAAGCTAGGAACTTTCCTCTAAAATCTATCCTGCAAGCCTGAAAACTGTTCTTTGCATTCCACCATTTAGGAATATAATCACATACTCAAGATGTAAAATACAGGAAAATGATAAATTGTTATTTATGCTACACAATGTAATAAATTATAATGAATAAAATAAAACATAAAATAGCTCTTCATTGTTTTTCAAATGTCAGCTAAACATTCTTCAAAAAATAGTGTGTCGAGCAACTCCTGGACAACAGAAATTTTCCAAAACTGCTAGTGTTTTGTGGCTTCTAAAGCAAGAAATGGTAACATGGAGACTCTTGTCATCAATTTACAGGTAACTCTCTTACAGCCACTTAACTCTTTCCTCAATGTATTACCTTCTTGTGTTACATATTTGAATAAAAATGTTTCTTATATGAAGTAAACAAACAATATATAAGAAACACTAAGAAAACTCATTTTGTTCGGTTTCAGAAAGAACATTATTCTGGAAATGTATGTTATTCATAAATTTGCGGTTCAATCCTGTCTGTATTACTTAGGAAGTATGTTTTCAGTCTAAAGTGTATTTATTTATCTTGGTGATTGGGTGATAGATAATTCAATGCAGAATGTAGTAGAGGAATAAGATTTTGTGTCACATAATTTGAAAAATATGAAAGAAAGTATTAAATAACCTTCTTGGAGGTTTCAACAATACTGTTTTAAAGCCCACCGTCAAACACATAGCACAAACTATTAGTAAGGCATCAAAAGCAAGACTACATGGGAAAATGGAAGATGCATGTAAGTTCTGCAACACTCTCTGTATATAAGAAATAGAATTGCAAAGTTCTCATGAAAACTGCACCTAGATTTCACATGAATGTTAGCCTATATGGTTTGACTTGTAGTAAGAACTATGTGTTTGTGGGTGTTGAATGAAACAAAAAAGGACTAAGACTACTTGAATAAAGCTAGATAAAACAAATAAATAAAAAGTCAAGAGCACATGAAAGAGCTGTCATTCTATTGCCATCTTCTCCAAAATCCCTATATATTTTAGTAAATAAGTTTTAATGTTTATCATATGTGATAATTTCCTTTGTCTTTTGGATCTAGAGACAGAATACAGTCTGCTATGGAAGATGAAACTATGTTTGATCTTGCAGTAAGTTTTGTCATTTTGTTTTTCAAAAAAACATACAAGTCTAAAGTATATTATTGTTTAGCCAAATATTGCTTTCTTTGTCTAATAACATAGGCAAAACTATAAAAGTAAATAATTTAAACAGCTGTAATTTTACAAGCTGTAAAAAGCCCAAAAGTACAAATGGTAGCTTCCAGCAATGCTGTTTCTTCCATACTTCAGTTTCTGAAACAGAACTTTCACTTCCCTCTTGCTTAATCTGCACTTCAGAATTTCATCTCCACAAGCAGATTTGGAAGGTGCTATAAGAGTAATAGTCTTGATTGTTATAGAGGACCATTGTTCTGATAGATGGATTCTACAGAATAAACATGGAAGATATTAAAATCTTATATGAATAATGTTTCAGTCATTTGAAAATGTACTTATTTTTCCATAGATTATAAATGCCAGTGAAAAGACTGTTGTGAACAATCTATTCCAGAGAGACTCATTGGTGCGACAAAGCCAGGTATGACAAAATAAGATAAAGTGGTTAATTGCTGAAATGTTGAGTGCCTTTACAAGATTTGTGACATGGAACATAACAGAAATTCTCTCAGTGCTGTTTCCTGGGACTGGCAGATAGCAACAAAATCACTGTACCATTCTGCCCTTAATACTTACCATTTATTCAGAAAAATACCATGTTTTTATATAGTCAGTGTCATCAAAGCAGCTAAGGGAAAACAGCAGCATTGCATTTCCCATCACTCCATGACTGAAAAAAAAACACTGACAAAGCCAGACATTTTGGTGGCAAACCCAAACATAAATGTGGATTGAAATGGATGGATGAGTGTGAGGAAGTGATCTGTGATAGGTTTCTGTCCTTTCAATTCATATTTAGGAAAAAAATTAATGAAATTTATCTTTGAATAAGAAGTGGATTTAAGCTTTTTTTTACTATCCTATAGGAGGAGTATGGTGGAAGATAAATTACTCGTCTGATTTTTGTAATTCTTTTTAAATTTTCAGTTGGTGGTAGACTGGTTAGAGAGCATTGCAAAAGATGAAATTGGAGACTTCTCTGATAATATTGAATTTTATGCAAAGTCTGTATACTGGTAAGTTATTGACCTACTATTGAGCATTCATGAGCATTTATAATCCATATATTACATCTCACACTATTGAGATACATCACAATTCCCTTCTCTTTGGGTTAACTTTGCTACAGAAAAAGCAGCTACAGGAAGCTTACTTTACTTTTATTTCAGGTATCTATTGTCTTGGAATTGCAGAAGTAAGACAGCTTCTGCCATTTCTAAAAGAGACCAATATCTCTAGATATACAGTATTTACGATTGTAGTAATATATTGGAAATTTTGTTTCCAATCCAGACCCTATGATCTACATGTCATATGAGGATGTAGACCTAGGAGGATCCTATAAGTTGATTTTATTTGCCAATATAAGGGGAAGTATGAGGTATTTGCTACTGCCAGAAAGTAGGGGATAGTAATAAACCATGGTTGAGTGAGGAATTAGAGTTCTGATATATGAAAAGAGAACTAATGGGTCTCTGGAGCAAGTTAGTCTGCTTTATTAAGAAGATTTTGTCATTCTAAACAAAAGGAGCTTGAGGAATAGAGGAAAATATTTGTAGCTCAGGGTTGAAATGAGGTGTCCTTGCTGCTCTCTGAACTTGGCTGTTTTCTTGGAGACATTTCATTACCCAAACTAGGTAACATCATCAGTGCTAGTAGAGAGTGGAGTTTGCTCTGAGTTTATATTCTAGTGGCTTACCCTGTCGGTATTGGTGAGGGTGGACTAGGTGGTTCTTTGGTTGGAGTATTTACTGTTAGCTTGCTGGCAGTTCCTTGATTGGGGTATTGTTTGCATCTTAATTATTGGTCTGATGTTAATCTGTGTTCATCTGGATGTTGATTGCTGGTGAGAAGGTGTTTTGATCTTTTTGTTTCCTTGTTTTGTTTATGGAGCTATATCGTATATCTCCAATATAAATCTCTGTGTTGGAACAGTATATAGAGAAAGACATTATCACAATTGCTATTTAAAATATATATACATGGAAATTTTCAATTGCATAAATTATTGAAGTAGGTTGTGGAAAATAAGCACACTTAATAAAGATTAAGAATAGTGGACATAATAAAGCCATTTTGACATTCATTTGGATGCTTGGATGAACTATTGAAATATATCACTACATAACTACAACATTAGAATATTTAATTTAGTAAATGCTGTTGATGAAGTGTTTTTTGTTGTTTTTAGGGAGAATACATTGCACATTTTGAAACAATGGCAATTAAATACGTTCACTGGGAGTTTACGTCCATTAGTGACTGAAGTAGTAAGTATAACATATCAATTCCAGGCCTAATATATCTAAATGAAATATGGACAAAACATTCTTACATAGAAATCAATTTGTTAAAGTACCATTACAATAGACAATATTTTATTTTCAGCTTTAATACATATTCAAATTACTCATTATGAAGAATAATTAAATGTATTAGTAGTGTTCAGATATAATAAGGGAATAAAAGGAAAATTAGAGCATAAGCAAGAATGGAAGATGGACAGAAAGTTAATTTAAAAGAATAAGATTGTTGAGTTAGAAAAAAAATAGTTAATTGGAGCGACTAATAATAATAAGGAAACAATAGGATCTGAAGATTTTGTAACTAAAACTTAGTCATAGATATATATATTAAAGAAATCAGTTACCTTTAAATAAATGTTTGTGAATATTATGCTCCATTAACAAATGTTGTAACTAGTATTTAAATATTAATTGAATAATTAATCACAATTTGTATTTGAGGAGAATCCTTAGAAATATGTCAAGCTTTTTCCTGAATACCTTTTAGAAAATGTTTAAAAGAGAGAGGCTAAAGGAAAAACAATTTTAGGATAGAGAAGACTTAAAAAGAAAGTAGTGATACAACTGAATATTCATACATGAGTACTGGTAATTTTAGAGAATTTAGAAGCAGGCATTGTAATAAGTAAATTGAGGAAAAGGTTTTTAAATATGTTGTCTAATTTCTTAAAGAATAGAATTGTAAGGTCATCCAGAGAATATTACTGTACAGAATTGCCTACTGTTACTTTACCTTAAAATCTGTATATAGAAGACTCTGTTTGATTTCTATATTTAGGACCCAGATGCTCCAGTAAGGCAGAAAATGCCACTTGACGATTTAGATCGTGAAGATGATGCACGATTGCTCAAGTTCCTTTTTACTCTCATTAGAGCAGGAATGACAGATGAGGTAAGCCAGTGGAAGCCAGTTGGGTGTAATGATTAAAGACCAGGCTGGAAACCAGGAGACTGTGAATTATAGTCCTGCCTTAGGCATGATAGCTTTGCTGGTAGCTTTGCTCCAATCACTCTCTCTTAGCCCAACCCATGTCATAGAATGTTATTGCGGGGAAAATGGGAGGAGGAAGGAATATTAAGCATGTCCACTTTGAATTGTTTATAAAAATAATAAAGGTAGAATAAAAATTTTAAAAACTCACACAGAAATATAAAATTGGCTCAAATACAAAGTTATGCAAATAGCTATAGAATCATAGTTAACCTGCTGAACTAGCATTATGTCATAAACAGTATCCATGAAGTAATAAAAATCTTTTGTTGCTTAACCATATTAACTAATTTGTAAGCCACCCAGAGTCATCTTGTAAGAGAAATGGATGGCATCAAAATTTAATAAATAAATATATAAAAATTAACATTCAATTCCTTAAGCAGCTAGGAAAAAAATCACATAATATTTTGATCATTAATTACATAAAAAGCTTGGAATAAACTGTCAGGTTTGAATCTCTGCTTGGTGCATTGAGTGGAACTTTGAATAATAAGACTTGTATTTTTGATTGAGTAGATGTTCGCCATTATAATTTTAGAGTAAATGTTCAAAAAAAAAGGTTTTAACAGTTTCTACTGTTCTATTTTAGTACAGATTAACTAGATTTCTAGCAAAAATTATCTTTCTCTCTCCTGGATTCTTTTATAGGCCCAAAGACTCTGCAAAAGGTGTGGCCAGGCGTGGAGAGCTGCAACACTTGAAGGATGGAAACTGTATCATGATCCTAACATGAATGGAGGTACTGAAATGAAAAGTGACATAATAAGCACATATAGAACAAAGAAACACTATTTTAACATATTTGCCCTTAGCTGTTTTCTACAACTGTCTACTTGGAAAAGAAAAAGTATTTATTTCAGTTCATTCAAAGTTACATATTCATAAAATATTGTTACTAAATATAAAGTTAAGTCCTTAATTGTAATAGAAATAAGAGTCAATCTATCCTTATCTCTGAATTTGATATAAAGGGTCCAGATTTCTTATTTGCAATGTTTCTTGAAGATTTATCATAATTTCCAATTGCCTATTTCAAATTTAATAACTCAATAACAATTTGAAGGATCCATAATTAGTTGTATACCTTCTAGTTCCCTCCCTTCCTTTTACATTTAATTTAGAGAACACTTTCCTAGTTTGATGAAACCTTAGTTTGTTACTGCATTCCAAATGAAAGTCTGTGATTTTAAGGAATAAAAAATTTAAGAAGTGGGCTTCTACCTTGATTTAAAAGGCTCATTTAACCAAGAATTTCGCTGTAACCATAGATTATGATTTAATCATACTACAACCTTACCTGTTAAATTAAATGTTCTACTAGTAGAGAGATGATTTGACTAGACAACTATTAAAGCTGTATAGTCCCAGAGCTTGCTTATATGAAATGACATGAATTTTTCCATGGTGGAGACAACTTGCTTTTTCAGAATGTGCTCCTTCTTATGCCTGCTTCATGCTACACCACTTCATAAAATATTATGTCTTACAAGTAGGGCAAGAGCTAGAGCCAGTAGAAGGAAACCCATACAGATGCATTTGGAAAATCAGTTGCTGGCGACTTGCAGAAAAGGTAAGAAACTTACAAATCTTCTATTCACTTCTAATATTGCCAGTAGCAGTACAAGCATATTATCAGTATGATTTTTATAATCATGCGAATGTAAGAGTATTTTTAGCATGCCTTCTGCAAAACTTGGAACATCCCATCCCAGGATTCAAACATTCTATTAACTAAATATTGTATGCTCTCCTCCTGTAGAGTAGGGGTGTCAAACTCACGGCCCATGGACCAGATGTCTCACTCACTGGCCACCCCCACCCGTTTTAGCGAAGGAAAAAAGTTGTGATATGACAACAACATGACGCCCTGAGTTTGACACCCCTGTTGTAGAGCATCTTCTCCCAATCATTTTTCTCCAGTTGTATGCAGCTCCTGTAACTCTGAATAAAATATTGCAAAATTAAATATAATCTTAATAAGATTGGAATTGTATGGTTTATTATTCATGCTGATTTCCTAGGATGGGAGCGGGTGATGGCAGAGTACATAGGAATATGCAACTTCTCTTAGAGATTGGTAGTTCTCTCCATTTTGGGGGAATCTGATGACTAGATGAACCCTAATGCATTGGGGTTTCATAATATTTAACTAATTAGCATCAGCCTGAGCATCAGCTCCATGGTCTTTAATATCAGTACAATGTTAATTCATTCTATTGGCATTGGCAGAATAATCGTTTAACCATGTAAGTTTTCACAAGACAAGTGGATGGAATAGAACTTAGGCATATTGCCTTGAATTTCAGTCTTTACTAGGTCTTGCTTCATTTTTTTCATGCAAGCCCCAATCTTGAGGTTTCATTTTTGGACAGGACAAATGCATCCTCTTACGCTGTCTTATCTGCAGAAATGGCTTATGCTATTTTGTTGTTTTGATTGCTTCAGATGTGCCTAAATGTCATGCTTTAGTAATAATATATATTACATTTCTTAAATATAATAGCATCAAACAAATATTTCTGAATTGAATATTTTTAGGAACAGTTTGACAAGTATGAGAGAGCAATCTATGCAGCACTTAGTGGGAATCTCAAACAGGTATGACATGGGTTTTTTTCAGTAACAGTTGGAAATGTTGAACACTTTGCTATCATTCTGAGGCATATAATGTAATTGCAAGCCAGAGATTCTGCAAATAAAAAGTAGCAGTTGTAGCTTCTGAAGCTTACAAGCAAGCCCATATAAGCAGTCCTTGAGATGAGCCAGACCATTGCAGTTGCATGTCATGACATACAAAACCTCCTCACTTAATGACCCCAGTCCTTGCTCTCTCTGATGAAAATATTAAATGAACAGGAGAGTCATTTAACAAAGCAGAGGGTGCCTTGGGGATGGGGAGGCCTGAGAAGCCTACACAGGCTCAGGATTGCCTGCTCTAGGCCTCCCAAGGCTACTCACGCTCCCATAAACTGTACAGAAAAATGGAGCCTCCTTTAAAAAAAAATAATTTGATAGTATTGCAAGAATAGAACCTGTTGCAAAATGGGAGTTTGCTTTCTTTGTAAGAAACTAGTCCTGGGTACCTCTATCAAAAGCTTAAAAAACAGAAAGGTAAGTTGGGTGTTGCTGGTGCCCTGGAACAGGCTTGAATTCTGCAAGTCCTTGGGTGGGATCTCCCCTTGTTCACTGGAGGCTTGCAAATTCCAAATGCCCTGACCTCCCCTTCCTTGCTGGATGGGAAAGAGGCTGGTGGCTTACAAGTTGAAGCTGATTTGTGTTCACTGTGGCCATCTGATCTCTATTGGGTGGATGAGTGGCTGTAGAGAGCCAGCAGGATGGGGTGGGTGGGTGAATGAGTACTGCAGCATCCTTGCAGTCAGTTATAACAGTGAATGACTGTGGGGTTACTTCAACCATCATAACTTTGAAACCAGGCCACAAGTAGTTTTTGGGGAATCAGTCATAACTTCAGATGGTCAGTAAGCAACCTGTCGTAAGTCAAGGGCTACTTGTATGTGTATGTATTGTCTTTTGAGAAGAATCTTTAAGAACAAGTTATTGTAACTAATATTAACTGTAGTTGGCAAGAATTTGCAGGTGCTTCCCTCTAGTCATGCTTTTGGGAAAGAAATATTAAAATCAAAATTAGCTGCAATTCATTATCACTGTGTTTGTCAGTAATTCATAGCTAAAGTAGGGCTAGCTAGGGTTGTTTTAATATACAGTACTTTCTGCAAAATTTTAATTTGTTGGGGTTTTGTTTGTTTTGTGACTTTAAAGCTTCTTCCAGTTTGCGATACCTGGGAAGATGCTGTTTGGGCATACTTCAGGGTCATGGTAGACACACTTGTTGAACAGGAAATTCGTTCATCTGTGATGAATACAGAGGAGAAGGAAGAACTCCCCAGAGAATATTTGGAAACAAAGTGAGTTATTTTTTGTTTGTTTAAGAGTTGCTATGAAGTTTTGAAGGCAATGCTAACTGCCATTTTTCTTGTTTATCTTGTTTTTCTTCCTTGTCTGAAGCTGGACTTTAGAAAAAGTATTTGAAGAACTTCAAGCAACAGACAAAAAGGTAAATCTGAGGCTTTTTCAAAATTAAAGGAGTAAGTCATAGCTTACTCTTATATGTATTTTCTCGTAACCAAGTCCCATAGGGGGTTCTCGGGGGCAACTTTTATCTCCAGATAAAAGTTGTAATGATGTATTCATTTACTTGGGAAAAAGACTTTGGGCATACTATGAATAAACACATTGGATTGCCCTAGTCTTAATCTGAAATTGCAGTTTTATTAGTCAAAAAGATAAAACTAATTTTCAAAAAATCCGATGCAGTGACCAGAACTTTTATCTATTATCATTTATGCAATGGATGTGTTCATGTATATTTTTAAACCAGGATATTTAAACTGTGTGTTGAGTAAGCTTGCACATCGCATTTGATCATACAGATAGACTTTTATGCATCATTAAATCAGAACAAGTAAATCACCTGATGAATTTTATAATGGAAAATGAATCAGCCAGTAAATGTACCTTATAACTGCACAGAAATATTGTCCTTCAGCGTAAGTATGCTGCAAAATAATCTTTTTCAAAAATGCCTAAATATCCTGATTACAAATAATTTTCTATGATTATGTGTTATGACTTAATAAATACATAAATTGTTTTTCAGAGAGTTTTGGAAGAGAACCAAGAGCACTATCATATGATTCAAAAGTTTGTTATCCTAGGAGATGTGGATGGTAAGTTTTACACTAGGTCTTTTTCATTCCTCTGTTTGCTTTGTTTTTAGTAATGCTGTTATAGAGTAGCCATACTTACAAGGCTTTAAGAATTTAGTTACTTGTTCTCTTCAGAAAAAAGTGGGTGAGAAAGAAAAGTCTATAAAAATGTTTATGGTGGGTGGGATGCAATTGATACATAAAAAAGATACTTGTAACTGTCTTGCCTTTTGAAACATTACAGCAAAGATATGTAACTTGGTGCTTCCAGACATCCTGGGTGCCCATAAGATTTTTTTTTAAATTAAAATTAGTTTTGCATACTTTAAAGTGCCAATCACAAGCATCTTTATTTAACTGCTTAATTAAAATACAGGGAAAATAAACACGCAGAGGGGTTCAGCCTGCTGCTTTTTTTAAAAAAAGTTTTCCTGTTCTTCAAATATAAACTTGGCTGAGAATACTGTGGGATGCATCCCGGAGGAATAGAGGAGCTAGTGGGGGAAACATAGCTTCTTCAGTTCTGTGATAAACAGTTGTAATTATTTTATATTTTTTGCTTTTATTTTTCAGGTCTCATGGAAGAATTTTACAAGTGGCTTTCCAAAGGCAGAAACATGCTCCCTGGGCATCTGCTTCGATTCATGACTCATCTCATTCTATTTTTCCGTACTTTGGGGCTTCAAACCAAAGTAAATGCATTTATTTATTCAGCTTAAATAAGTATATAAATTAGCAAAATAATTAGAACTAGGGTATCACAGCTAACAAACAAAACTTTCTATGTGTTAAATGTGAGCATGAAAAGTTACCATTCCTGTCCCAGTGATGTATCCTAAAATATGAGAACTGGTTGCAAAAAGTACATTCAGATCCATTAAAAAGGTAGCAAAATGACAGTTTTAGTGTTAATTACATATTGTTATAATATATTAAGGTTAACCTTATACCTTAAAATAATTAGGCAATTTTATTAAAACTTTTGTTTTGCCATATAGGAGGAAGTATCAATTGATGTCTTAAAGGCCTACATTCAGGTAAATTATTTCATTATTTGCACAAATGGAAGCAATAAAGAGCAAAGATGTTACTCTATTTGCATAATTGTACATTTATGACCCTTTTTACATATAGCGCAGTGGTTCTTAACCTTCCTAATGCCATGACCCTTTAATATAGTTCCTCATGCTGTGGTGACCCCCAACCATAAAATTATGGCTCGATTCCTAAAACCACTGAAAATATGTGGTTTGCGATGGTCTTAGGCGACCCCTATGAAAGGGTCATTTGACCCCCAAAGGGGTCATGACCCACAGGTTGAGAACCACTGATATAGAGGATATCAAATTAGTTGAAAGAAGGCATTATTAGATTATAAAGGCACAGGTATACTGATGCATTGCTGTTCACTCTCCCTTTCAAGTGAGTGCAAATACACATGCATATGTGTCTGTATTGTGTTGTTATACCATTATATTTTATATTTAGATATTGTAGTAATATTTATATTGTCTCCCCAAATACCATTTGTTTTCTGTTCCAGTGGTTAATGCATGAGAAGCACACTGATCTCATAGCATTTTACGTCAGCCACCTGCCTCAAGATGTAGCTGTGGCTCAGTATGCTGCATTCTTGGAGGATGTGATAGACACTGAACAAAGACACCATTGTCTGGAGCTTGCCAAGGAAGCAGGTTAGAAAAAAATGGGGTCAATTGGACATATTCTTAGGGAACATTGAACTCTTTCCCTGGTTGGCAGCTATTTGTAAATGAATGGGTATGATTATAATATTTCTAAACAGAGTATGCACAGTTCAGTTGGTCATAGCTTGAAATATTAATAATGGATAAGATTTTCATATTAGTACTTAATGTGCCATAATGCCTACCTGGTTAAAAGATCTCCAGTGAAATTTTGCCTCCAAGAAATTACCAGTGTAAATGAAGTAAAGACAATATTTCCATTTAAAGTTATTTTAGTTTCACCTCATAGAAAACTACTCAATCAGTTTCAGTGTTTCTGTTTAATGTCATTCTTTATCCATACAGATGTTATAAATACCTTCTTCTCTTGGTATATAATCCTTGTTCTTTCTTTTTTTTCAAAATAGGTTTGGACATTGCTACTATAACAAAAACAGTGGTTGAAAATATTTGCAAAAAAGACACTAGTGAGTTCTTCCACCATGATCTTGCAGTAGAGACCGGCACAACAGAGGTGAGTGGTGGTACTTCATACGCTCTATCTCTAATACTAACCAGCACATTCTGCCTACTTTTATCAGCTGCAGAAGCTGTTCCTATATGAATTTGTATGCATAGCCACTTTGTTTTACGTTACTTCCAACAGCTTCTGGTCAATAAACATAATTGCAAAAGTTGAAATTGCAATAATAATTCATTATAATTGGAGTGCTTTGCATGTCTGTGTTCCAATCCATTGGCAAGTACTTCTGTTAAATACTTTGCTCAAAATAGCAATCCTAATTATATGCTGTTCTTGAAATGCTGAAAACTCAAATATATCATTTAATATAAATTGTAATTAAGTCTAAATATGTCAGATACTTGTGATCTCCAATAATGCATAGTTAAAATCTCTAGATTGTAACCAGTGTCTTAGCAAATCCCTTTTCTAGCCTTAAAAGCTAATTTGGTACATTTGATTTGGTACATTTGATTATTAACACAGGATTTTTCCCCCAGGATGATCGCTTGAAGATTGATGTGATTGACTGGCTAGTATTTGATCCTGCTCAGAGAGCTGAAGCACTTAAGCAAAGCAATGCTATAATGAGGAAATTCTTGGGTACTGCACTATTATCCATGATTTTGAAATAAATAAATAGATAAAGGCATATTGAATCTGAAAGCAACTTATGTTCTTAAATAATATTTTATAGCATGTAAGAAGCATGAAGCAGCTACAGAAGTATTCATAAAGATTCCACAAGACTCTATAGCTGAAATATACAATCAGTGGGAAGAACAAGGAATGGAGAGTCCACTTCCGGCTGAAGATGACAATGCTATTAGAGAGCATTTATGTATTAGAGCATACCTGGTAAGAATGGGACTAAGTTCCAAAGAGGACAACCTGTTCCTAATTCCAAAAATGTGTCAGTGCTCTGTTAGCTGTGAAACATATACACTGTTCAAACGTATAGTTTATTTTAATAAACAAGCTAATCCAGAGGTCAGAGACAGTAGTAAAATCTTATTGCATTCTGAGATTGAATCTTATTTCAGATTTAGCCAAATTGAGATAATTTTGTTTTTCTTTTTCTTTTAAATAAGTTGAACTGAGTTAGATAGGCTTAGCTCTCTATTCTTATCAACTAATGAGGAAGAAGGAATAAAGGATCTCTGAACTAATGTTCAAAATATTTGTTTAAATATATTCAAGGACAGATGTCAGATAATTCATAAACATATAACTTACATATTTCTAGTTTTATGTATTTGATAATAACTATATACTTCCAACTAAATTTAGGAAGCCCATGAAGCTTTTAATGAGTGGTTTAAACACATGAATTCAGTTCCACAGAAGCCAGGTCAGCTTTCACAAGCAAGTTTCACAGAAAAAGTTGCCCATGAACTTAAAGAGAAGAAATATGAGGTAAATATATATGAAAAAGTGACTTCTTCATAATATATTGAAATATAAATCGTACTCCTAAATATCTTATCCATATGGATAAAATGTGAATAACTTATCATTATATTTCAGGGCAGCCATAGCCAGAAATTTATATTAGGATTTTAACTCTTTTGTGTGTGCTGTGTTGTCTCACATCTTTTTTTCTTGTTATCTTTTTTCAGGTAGATTATGGCATCTGGAAAGGTCTTTTAGATGCTCTTACAGCTGATGTAAAAGAAAAAATGTATAATGTCTTATTGTTTATTGATGGAGGATGGATGGTTGATGTCAGAGAGGTTGGTTGATGTCAAAATGCACATTTAACACTAGTCCTACATAATAATAGAATCAAAGATAATGGAATAGCTGCATTTTCCCCACTAGAACACTACTATGTAGTGTTCAGAGTTCACTTCTTCTGGACTGACTCTTAGATTGTAAGTAATCATAAGTACATTATTACACAAACTAACCATGTAAATAGTGCCTACACTTAAACAGAAATGACATGGCAAGATCACATATGCTCTGGTTTAAAATTAAACTACTATCTTACACTATAGTGAAGGGCCAAACTTAATAGTCCTGTAGCCAGATTAGTTTTTGTGGGTTAGAATTGGAAGAATTGCACAACTTAACATTTACTCACTTTTTCTCTATTTGAGAGTGTGTTAGTTTTCAAAGGTTGGAGTAGAAAGAGTTAAGATTGTATAGAGGATTTTGGCTTAATCCATGTCTATACTTTTTAATCAAGGATGCTGAAGATGATCCTGAGCGTTCTCATCAAATGATCATGCTGCGAAAACTCTGCTTGCCAGTGTTGTGCTTCCTCCTTCATACAGTTCTGTATAGCACTGGACAGTATCAGGAAGACTTAAGACTTGCTGACTTGATTGCTTCAGATAGGCACAAACTCTATATGGTAATATACTCTTTGAATTGTTTTTTAATGCTCTGCTTGTCTCTAAAGTGCTGTAGTTTGCATTTCTTTAATTTCACTGTCCATGGTATTGCATAGAAAATTCCAAAGATCAGAGTCGAACTATTAAAAAGTATGAATAAGCTAGCTTTCCCAATTTTTAATAAAATATGAAATATAATTAAGCACTGGAATAATTAGGATATTTGTAGACTAACTACAAAAATGAATTACTATGCTGGTTGTTACAGAATCCAGAGAATTAAGAAGCAGAATGAGTACTTCATTAAAATAGTTTTCTCTTTGGTCACTAGCTTTCCAGGTAAAGAAGATTGGATATTTTATCTCAGATTGTGATTTGCTTTCATTTGTATTTCCTATCCTATAGATATTTTCCAAGGAGGAACTCCAGAAACTCTTACAGAAGTTGAGAGAATCTTCCCTCATGCTTCTGGATCAAGGTCTTGATCCTCTTGGATATGAAATACAATCTTAATTGCATTGTTGTAGGTAATATAAATAAAATTAGTGATACAAATGAATATAAGGTTTGGATCCCAGATTTTTGGCCTCCATGAAATAGAGAATATTTTGATTCAACCTCCATTGTTTTATATGGAAATATTTTAATATTTTAATGGCATTGGCGCATAGCAGTGTGGATTTTTTTATATTTAAAATAATTGCATGGATAATACTTTGTATTTTTCTCAATAAAATTGTAAACAATAATTTAATTTGTAATAAGGTTTATATTGCTTAAATGTAGGAAGTAGTTTGCATCAGTAAGCCTGCCAGAGTGAAGTGGCCTATAGATGTAACAAGGAAGTGTTACAGGTAGTCCTCATCTTAGAACTTGTCATTTAATGACCAAAGTTAACAACAGCATCAGAAAAGTGCTGTACAGCCTGTAAAACATGTCTGGCCTTCGTAAAACATCACATCATTCATATGACCACATTTGGGGCATTTGTCAAACATTTATGACCAATTGCCTGCAGTCCCACAAAGGATTTCCCCTCCAGCCCCACAAAGGATATCCCTTTTGGCTGCAGGAAGAGTTGAATCTTGAAAATTTCCAGCAGTCCCCTGAAGGATTTTCCCTCCCTGTGTGGAGGGAAGGGGAATCCCTTCAGTGGCTTGCAGCAGTGGAGCTGAATCCTTCAACAGGCAGTTTTTTCAGTCCGTCTGCTTAACAACCTGGGAAACTGCTTAACAGTACCAGGTTGGCAATAAAAAACAAAGCATGTTTGGTTGCTACAATACAAAAAGGATGCTAAGTAATTGGAAAGAGTACAGACAAGAGCAACAAAGATGGCTTGAAGGCTTAATCCTATGGAGAACGATCTGAATATATGTAGCTTAAAGACTAGTAGACCAAGGTGAGATACAATAGCCATCTTCCAATATTTTGACTATTGTCACAGGGGAGGATTGTAGATTTGTTCTCCATCTTCCCAAGAATAGGATAAGAACTGATATTCCTGGTATCTTTTCTTGCCACTCTTTGACCGATACAACCAATTGGCTGGTGACAAGGTCTGATGGGTGAGTGGCAACTGACTACTTTGGAATCAAGGCCAAAATCTGAACTCCTTTTACAAAGGATTGAGTAACAAAGAAAGGTCAGAGGAGCCACTCAGATGCCTGCTGGAGATGTAGGGCATCCCAAAGAGAACCAGCTGACAGTGGGTGAGCTTCCTTCCTACCATGGAGGGAGGTGGCCCTTGGGAATAGACTGCCGTGTAGAGCACTAATGCGCTTTCCTCCCTGGTCTGAGGTTCCCTTGGTTCCCCCTCCCTCCCTCCAGCAAGTGGCAGGCAGTTCCATGCATCAGAGGAGGCTTCATGAGGGCTTTGCTGAGGGTCATGAGGGGAGGGAAACCAACTTGTATTATACAGGTAGTCTTCAAGTTAAAATCACAGTTGAGCCCAACCTTTCAGTTGCTAAACGAAATACTGAGTTCTGCTTGTCAGAAGGTCACAAAAGGTGATTACATGACCCTGGGACACTGCATCTTTCTCAAGTATGAGTCAATTGCCAAGCATCTGAATTTTGATCATGTGATCACAGGAATGCTGCAACAGTCACAAGTGTGAAAAATGGTCCTAAGTAACTTTTCAGTGCGATGTCATTTTGAAAGGTCACTACATGAACAGTTGTAGCTTGAGGACTACCTGTATCAAAAAAAAGAATGTTCCCTGGCAACTTCCCAGAAATTAATGGAAAAGCAAGCTGAAGTTGTGAACTCTTCTGAAGTCATGACAGCACTGTATGTCTCAGAAAATTAATTTAGCAAAGTTGTGGCTGGGGTCCATTATTCCCCTGGGATTGAAATTTGACAAACTCATTTCATTCCCTACCATCTTCCCAAAGGAAAGTCATTAGGGAAGTCAGAAATCACTCTTGCTCCTATTGCTTTTTCACGTGCCCATAGTCATTCTTTTTGCCTTTTGGTACTCACCGTGGGGTTTTCCCCAGGGACAGTACCAAAAGATGGTATCACCACAGATAGGGACTGCAGCCAAGAAATTAAAAGATGCTTGCTCCTGCGGAGGAAAGCTATGGCAAATCTAGACAACATACTACAAAGCGGAGACATCACCCTACCAACAAAAATGTGTATAATCAAGGCTATGGTTTTCCCAGTTGCAATATATGGCTGTGAAATTTGGACCATAAGAAAAGCTGAGCACCAAAGAATTGAGGCCTTTGAACTATGGTGCTTGAGAAATCTCCTGCGAATCCCTTGGACTGCAAGGCGATCAAACCGGTCAGTCCTAGGGGAGATCAACCCTGACTGCTCTTTAGAAGGCCAGATCCTGAAGATGAAACTCAAATACTTTGGCCACCTAATGAGAAGGAAGGACTCACTGGAGAAGAGCCTAATGCTGGGAAAGACTGAGGGCAAAAGAAGAAGGGGACGACAGAGAATGAGGTGGCTGGATGGAGTCACTGAAGCAGTTGATGTGAGCTGAAATAGACTCGGGAGGACGGTTTAGGGACAGGAAGGCCTGGAGGAATGTTGTCCATGGGGTTGCGATGGGTTGGACACAACTTCTTGACCAACAACATTAGTCATTCTTTCTCCCCAGGTGAGGAAATACTGTATTTCTGAAAAGATCGCCCAATGGGGATTGTTTTATGTGTTCATAAAGTCACCAGGAACTGAACCGATTTTGCCTTTGTGCCATGTCCCTGAAATCGTGGGGATGATTATTTCTGGGTGTCTTCGCACCACTAGCTCAGTCACAAAATATGTGTCAATTCAGCCCCAATGGAGATCGAAAGGCGATGACGGCTTCTATAACTGAGGGAGACCTGCATTCCTAAATGGCCAGTTCCAGTCTTTTGGGTGGACTTGCGCCGCTGCCTTTAAGAGCTAAAAAAAAGCCCCATCCTGTCTCCTCCCTCGTACAGGCAAGACGCCGGGTTGGACTGAACTTCTCCCCAGTCCCAAAACACCCGCAAAAGCCGAAGGTGCCAACCGGCGTGGAGACTGGCCTGCGTTTGCCGGCAGCTCGCGCTGAGCCACGATAACATGAGTCCGCGCAACGACAGGCTAAGCGGCAGCCACCCGGAGCCCAGAGAGGGCAGCCGGCCCAGAAAGGCGAGGAGACCCTTCCCGGGGGGGCTTCTGCCGAGGAAGGCCCGGGTTCCCGCGGCAGCGGAAGTTCCTGCGCCCGGGTCACGTGGGCGGGCAGGGAAGAGGCCGTGGCGGCAGTTGTGCCAGCTGTTTCCCCGGGAGCGGTGGCTGCTGCTGCCGCTGCCCAGGAAGCGGACGTGGAACTGGGAAGAAGCTCGAGCATGGAGGGGTGGCTTTCAGAGCGCGGCCGGTTGGCGGCGGGGCTGCTGGTGAACTTGGCGGCGTCTATTTGCATCGTCTTCCTGAACAAGTGGCTGTACGTGCGAATGGGCTTCCCCAACCTCAGCCTCACGCTGGTGCACTTCGCCGTCACCTGGCTGGGGCTGTATGTGTGCCAGTCGCTGGGCGTCTTCGCCCCCAAAAGTCTGCGGCCGCGCCAGATCCTCTCCCTAGCGCTCAGCTTCTGTGGCTTCGTGGTCTTCACCAACCTCTCCCTGCAGAACAACACGGTCGGCACTTACCAGCTGGCCAAGGCCATGACCACGCCGGTCATCGTGCTCATCCAGAGTGTGGCCTACGGCAAGACCTTTGCCACCCGCATCAAGCTCACTTTGGTGAGAAGCAGGACGGGGTGTGGCGGGTGGGCAGAAACCAAAGGAAGAGAGAGGGCTGCCCTCGCTTGCGGGAGCTGGGGCTTCCCCAAGTAATAGGCTGCAATCCTAGAGCAAGGAGAAATGCTGGAAGTGAAATATTGCCAGAAGGATCGCCTTTTGGGTTGATTATGAAGGCTGGTTAAAAATAATTGATTTAAACAATTATTTCCCAAATCTGATGCTCCTAGATTTGATGAATTAGGCTGTCTACAATTTCTAAGAATTGGTGTACTGGCCGAGTCATAGCACTGTACAGTTGTTTGTTTGTTTGTTATGTGTAAAATAATGTGTGTGTGTGTAAGTAAAATAATGAATGTCCATAGTTGATTGTGGCTAACTACCCAGTGTGTAAAGGCTTTGACTCCAAACTATAAAATGTAAATGCCTCCTTTTCATCCTAAAATTGCAAGAAATATATCAGGTTCAATCACAAAACCAAAAAGATATGCTTTTTAAAAATTTGTCAGACAAGATGTTATGAAGAGCTAGAGATATAGCACCTGCTAGCCTTCTGTCTTATTTATACACGTTAATGGTTGTGGAAATTCTAATCATTCGGAGACCAAAAAGTCTTATGAAGACTGTTTCAGTACTAAGAAATAATACTGGAATACTTACACTTCAAATGTTTCTTTCTCTCTTTCACAGATTCCAATCACTTTAGGTGTTTTTTTAAATTCTTATTATGATGTGAAATTTAGTTTTCTTGGAATGATATTTGCTGCTCTTGGTGTTATAGTCACATCTCTTTATCAAGTGGTAAGTTAAATACGGTTTTAAAAAATGCAAGCTTAGAATATTTTACGTAATCTATTCTGTATTAATTTCTAGTCTTCTGAATAGAAAATATTTGTTGTACATAGGTTTCTTTTTATTTAAATATGTCTTATTTATCTGTAGGAAAAGCTATTTTCTGTTGAAAAAACTCTATACACAAGTATATAAATTGTATTTGTAGAAGGCTGGCATATTCACTCTTAAATTCATCCCAACCTGGTGCCAGGTTGTATTTGGCCGTAGCTTTTGATCATGGATGATACTGTCTTAAATTAATAAGGAGTTTTAGTCCAAAGTACTTGTAATATTATTAATATTTTAAATAGCTAATTGGATAGTTAATTGTATGATGATAGGGATGGAAAATTGTTGCTTATTCTGTTTTGTACTCAACAATAACTTGTGTGCATAAGGATGAAAAATGTTGCTTTCAGGAAGCTACTGCATTATAATATCAAATATTTTGTCTATAAATAGCCTATTAATCATTTAAACAGTTCTGAACAGTCTTTGATAGTGGTTCACCCCAGTTTCAATAGAAAAGAATATATGTAGCTCAGAGATGAACTATGGAGTCCTTAGTACTCTCTGAGTTTGGTTGTTTGCTTCCAGACATTTCATTACCCAATTAGGTAACATCATCAAAGCTAGGAGGAAATGGGGTTTGCTCTCTGCTTAAATATAGTAGCTTGCCCTGTCAGTGTTGATAGTGGTGGTATTTTCTCCTTGGTAATTCCTTGATTAGGCTGTTATTTATTACTTGATGGTTGGTAGTTCCATTTCATAGCCTGTGGTGGTTCCGTTGTGGTGATTGAGTGACCAGGCACTCATCCAAGTTTATATGCATTATATTTCCCATAATAATATTTTTGCGAGAGATAGATGGGAAGGGAGTTGAAAAGATTTCTAAGGAGTAGGTGGAGGTTTTATCATTAAACATACATTTTAAATTGAGTTTCCTCATGGCAAATAAAAATAACTGATATTTTCATTAAAGATAATTAAGCAAAATATTGCGATTGTTTTTAGAAGTCTTTACTTGTTTTATTGTTGACTTTCTGCTGACTTTGGGTGCAGTAGTCATTACAGATAGAACTGATAGGCCTCTGCTTTCTCCACCCAGTAACAGGCCAACAGCTTCCAATGTGAGCTTCAGCAGCATGTCTAACACAAACGGCTGGGAATGCACTGCACCTTTGGCAAGCTCTCATTCTTCCACCTCCTCCCATTTTGCACCACACTCAACAATGCCTCCTGCACAGCTACAACCTTCACCCAGGGAGCCACCACTACCTCTCCTATGTTATCCAGCAACAAAACATGCTATGCCTCACAGTCCTTTCTCGCTGCACATTTCAGGGTCTTCAGGCTATGCTACTTACATTGACAATGGAACCTGGGAGTCTTCCACCTGTATCACTGCCCTGCTTCCTCCCAAGTTGATAACTTCTAGAATTGTTCAGCCAGCATGATTATTATTAAACATATTGGCAGCTAATATCCTCATATATAGAAGATGCCCATATTGGGGAAATTTACTCTAGTCTAGAACTATCCATGAAGGTCATAGCTGGAATTATATTTTCTTGTTTCCTCGATTTACCCATTCCGTGCAGTTTGTAGCTTGCATCAACTTCAAATTCAAAAGTTTTAGCTCATGTTTATAATATTTAATTGCTAGCAAGCTTGCGTATTAAGATGCCTTTAGAAATATTTTATTCAGTTTCATTTATTTATTTTTTTGGCATTTTAAGAAATCTGTAATCTAGACACTAATTTTTATGCCACTGTATCAGGATAAACAGAAGAAACTGATTATCTTTTCTTTCAGATGCTTGGAATAAATAGGGTTGAGCTATACATGCTTTTCTCAAAGTACACACCAATGCAGTATTTTAGTAAGCATATTGTAATTTATTTATGTCAAGGTTAGACATGTGGGCTATTGATCTATTTTTCTTTGTTTCAGTGGGTAGGAGCAAAACAACATGAACTACAAGTAAATTCTATGCAGCTACTATACTATCAAGCACCAATGTCATGTGGCATGTTGCTGTGCGTTGTGCCCTTCTTTGAACCAGTCTTTGGAGAAGGTGGAATTTTTGGCCCCTGGACTCTCTCTGCTGTGGTAAATTATTCATTTCTCTTCTTCATTCTATTTGTTCTAAATGCTCTTAAAATTTAACGAACAATATTCATATTCAAATATAGGAAAATGTAATCCTAAATTTGGAAGTTCTTTATTGAACCAATGTTTCCCATTATTTGTTAGCCATTGAATTTTCAAATGTGAAATATTACAACTGAAGGACTACATGAAAAGATCATCCACTACTGAATTATTTTTTAAAATAATCTTTACTTTATACATTAACATAAATTAGTCCAATTGATAATGACTGCATACAGTATATTGCTTTTCCTTTCTTCAAGCATTTGTCAGAAGGCACACAATGAAGTAAATCTTCCTGAAATCAAACAAGCTGGTCTTGATTGATTCATTTACATTGTCTTGGTTAGAGGGCTGGCTTGGGGTATTCCTTGGTTCTTCTCTTGCCGTGAATTTTGTCTATTTTTGACTCTTTGCCAGCTTCATAGTAAAAGTTTTGGGAGCAGCAACCACAGAAACAGAAGACAGCAAACAATACTTATGAGTAAATATACAGTGGATTGGCCCGCACACTGTTTTCCAAGAATAATCAAAAGGCTCCTTATTATATTGTTTTGGAAGGACAGTAAAGATTATAGTACATTAAGTTTTAATACTTTGATGATTAGTCATTTTCCAATTATAATGGCATTCTTGCTGCTTAATGTTTCTTTTTACTCCATATTTTGTGGTGGCATATTTTTGTTTCAAAATAAAAATTAACTTCTAATCCGTGTTTTATTTATATCACCCCCTGCATGATGTAATCAAAAGGCATAGTTTATAGATCCAGTAAATGATACTAATATACTGACAATGTCTCCTTAAATGGAGATGAAACATTTGCAACCAAATTGCCAAACTCAGAGTTCAAACCAACAACCTAACTACCAACCCAAGCTACTAATATTCAAACACATTTCAATAATAAATAAAACTGCTTAGGAGATGGTACTTGAAATATTGCTGGAAATAGGTATTGTGAAATGTAAATCTGTTGAACCCTTTTTATATAGCTTTGTTTTATACTCCATATTTCAGCTTGCAATTAAATGTTCAAAGAAAAATGCTTCCAGGTTTTTAACATTTATCAGATGAAATAATAATTCAAAGTAGAAAAAACTAAGGATAAGAAATCAGATCCAATTGTTTACAGACACAGGCTGTAATTCTTACTGTGAATGTGAAATGATTGGAAAGGATACCATTTGCAACAAATTATGCCAATTATTGTCTGTTAAAAATCATTTGCAATGATTTGTGCTTTTTTTCCCCTAATCCACAGTCTATGGTGCTGGTCTCTGGAATAATAGCATTTATGGTGAACTTGTCTATTTACTGGATTATTGGGAATACTTCACCAGTGACGTATCCTTTCACTTGGAAAATTGTTGTTCCAGTTTTGCAAAATTATTTACTGTATTACACTGGTAATAAACTGTAGAAATCAGAAACATCAGGTGAGTCACCAATAAATCCTTTTAAGTAAAACTTTCAGAAACCGTAGAATCATATTGTATTGGACTTAAGCACTATGTTTTAGGATCTTTCAACAAGTTTGTTTGCATTGTTTTATGAGAGAATAACTCATCTCCAATACTTGAATTTACTTTCTATAGTAGCAGTAAAATAATAATGAATGTTTTATTGAAAAAATACATAAAATGAACACAGACTGTCCTCGATTTACAACAGTTTGTTTAGTCACTGTTCAAAGTTACAACAGCACTGAAAAGGTGACTTATGACAATTTTTCACACTTATGACCATTACAGCATCTCCATAATCACGTGATCAAAATTCAGATGCTTGGCAACTGACTCATATTTATGATAGTTGCAATGTCCCGGGGTGATATGAACACCTTTTGTAACCTTCTGACCAGCAAAGTCAGTTGGGAAACCAGATTTATTTAATAACCATGTTACTAACTTAACAGCTGCAATGGATTCACTTAATAACTATGGCAAGAAAGGTTGTATAAATGTCTTACATAGCAACATAATTTTTGGACTAAAATTGTGGTCATAAGTCGAGGACTCTCTGTATAGTTAACAATGACAGAAGTTTTCACTTAAAGCCAAAAATGAATTAAATACAAGAGTAGGACTTAAGAAGCCAAATCTGGCACATGATTTAGTATTTCATTATTTTTGATTTATCATAATAAATAATAATGTTCCTTAATACGGTTATGTAGATACAACATGTTTGGACACTTCAAATTCTGCATCACCCTCATGGGAGGATATCTCTTATTTAAGGATCCTTTATCAATTAATCAAGGCCTTGGAATTACATGCACATTGTTTGGCATTCTAGCTTACACACACTTCAAACTTAGTGAGCAAGATGGGAACAAAAGCAAACTGGTTCAACGTCCGTAAATTAAGTGTTTTTGTTGGTAACAAAAGAATTGCTTTAGTATGCACTGATTCCAAAAGCAATGCACTGTCTATGGAGGAATCTAAAATTGTCCATCTCCCAGCAGAGCAGGTATTCTCTCGCCTATAGCTCCCATGCACTGCCACTTCCTACTGTGGCCAGTTGGAGTATGGATTGTATTAAATTGAGGGGGTCATAGGATTCAGTAGAAAGAAAAGCACAGTAAAGAAGACTGATGATGAAGAGTGCCTGCTCATGTTGGCATATCCAGATTCATTCATTCATTCATTCATTCATTCATTCATTCATTCTTTCCTTCATATTTTCTCTCTTTCTCTCTCTCTTCCCCTCCCTCCCTCCCTCTCCATATGTATGTATGCACAATTTGTTTCTCCTAAAGGGCTGTTTGTAATTACAGTGCAATCTCTAAGTGAACTGTCCTATTTATACCAAATGAACTCATTCAGACAGATAAAATGTTTTGTGCTAGAAAATTAATCATGTCTTTACAATTATATCAGTATTAAAAGAGACTGCTTTTTTGTGATCAAGTGAACATTGAAGATTCTGGATCTGGTAAATGCTGAGAAACCAAATTATTTTTCTCTGGATTTTTAATTTCCATCTGGGACTTTGTTTTTAATACTCACATCCATTGTTATATTTGTTCTGAATATTTTAAAACTTAATGTATATTTAACTGTAATTAACATTCACAGTTGAACAAAATACTGGTACTCCAAAATTATTAAGACCTGAGAATTTTACAAGTTGTTAAGTTTTCTAAGTTTGTAAGTATTACCTAACTCGATGCAGGCTGGCTCCTGTAATTTGAAAGTGTTTTCTTTTTACTTCGTTCAAGATTCAGTAATTTATACAAGAAGTTTCTTTTCTAATTATTTTGGCGAGTGCAGATGTAGTGTTACTCGCAACTTGATTTGTAAACTTTCTTGCAACTTGTATATATTTCTGTTACGTTTTAAACATATTTAAGACAAAATGTGCAAAGCATTATGGGGATTTTTTTAAATCAACATGATCCCATTCTTTCAAATGCTAGTTAAGGATAAATTCTCACTGAAAATTAACTTGGTGATATAAAGATAACTATGGTTAAACCAAGATGGTATTAGTCACTGAGGAACTACTATCCAGTCCTATCTAAATGTATCCTTATGTTTTAAACTGTAGTTATAATATTTACTTGAAATTATTGGTTAATTCAACTTAGTTGGATTATGATTAGCTATAGATTTGTCATGTTACCATGCTCCAGATTCTATGTTTATGAGCTCTGTATAGAGTAATTCTGTACTCCTGACCATAATAGAGTCTGCTTATTATGATTGGAAGTCGTAACAGCAGTTAAAGGAAGTGACTCTCTTATAACCCCTTCATCCCTGCTTTCCCAGATATGGTTGTTCAATAGATCATCATTTCCCTCGGGGTGGCGGGAGAGGCCCTGGAAGGCCTAATACAGGGCCTCCCCCACTCCCAAGACACCCTGAACTCTGCTTTCCTCCATTCATAGTCTCTGCAAGCCTTGGCGTCTGCTTCCCTTCCCACCAAGCGCCACACCCTCCACCCCACTTCATGTCACCATCTCACACTTTTCAAAATCTCTGGTTTCAGGTTAGGGAAAGAGGACAGGCTGCTTCCAGGATGGCTCTGCATGACCCAGCAACAGAGCAGCTTGCTCTGCTTCCCAAACACAAGTTCCGCAGTATTCCACCATGTTCTGCAGGGCTTCAGAATACTGTGGAGCTCATGTTAGGGAAGCAAAGCAAACCACTGCATTGCTGGCCCGCATGGCACTATCCTGGAAGAAGCCATTATTTTCCAAGTCACTACAATTCAGTGTGGCTACTTGGAAAAGCAGCTGTTCCTGCAGTCACACCACTTAGACCAGGAACGGAGCAGCCTGTTCTGACCCAAGCCCTCTTCCAATAAAATAAACACGAACCAAAGGAACAGAAACCTTTTAATGATTCTTACGAATCCCCGGTTAAAAGGCTGCTGCAAACTAATTAACTTCCTCGCCAAAACTGTGTGAGGCTGCCAAGAATTACAGATAAGAAATATTTCACAAGGGTCTTCAAATACCAACTTAAAGATACTCCAATGTCCACGAGGCTGGAGTTTCAAAATGTTTTTTGCTTCCTGCAAAGAATATTTGATTCACAGCTGGCTTTTATCTTCTTGAAGGAGGGGCCATTACCTTGCAGCCTTACTCCCGAGTCGCCTGTGCTGCTGCAGCCGTTCTTTCCTACAAGCAGCCCTGTGCACCTGCACACTCCTCGGGAATTTCCTCATCGCTGCTTCCAGCCCCCACAATCGCTGAAGGCAGCAGTCCACTCCCTAATGGTCCTGGCCCCTCATCTGAGTCCTCACTCTCCTCAGCCATATGCACCTGCTGCCGGCTAACCTGTCCTTCCCTAAACAGAGCTCTGGAGATCTTTGAGGAGGAAGATATGGGGCCCAGCAGGATGAGAAACAGGCCCAAAGCCTGCAGGAATCTGAGGAAGGGAATTGGGTGGGAAACAGGCAGGAGGACGCTACAGGGTCCCTGTGGCCAGCCCTAAGGGCAAAAGACTGTAAAGGAACAGCAAAAGTTTAACAAAAAGATAAAAATGCTATAATAAAAGTGTAGTCTGGGACAAATCTTGTTATTGCTTTATATATTGAAAAGTGTTATATTCTGTTTTATTTTTGAGATCCAGTCTGGTCTACAGGTAGACTCTGAGTTACAACCATTCATTTAATGACTGTTTGAAGCTAAAACAACTCTGAAAAAATGACTTTATGACAGTTGCATTGTCCGGGAGTCAGTATTTGTAATTTTCCCAGATGACATCTGACAAGCAAAATCATTGGGAGAAGCTGGGTTCACTTAACAACCATGTGATTCACTTTAACAACTACAATGATTCACTTAACAACTGTGGCAAAAAGAGTCGTAAAAAGCCGCAAAACTCACTTAACAACTTTAGCAATGGAAAATTTGGGCTCAGTTGTGGTCATAAGGACTACATGTAGCAGTTAAAGCTAGAAACCACAAGAGAGATATCCCTGGTTTTGCCTTAGGCATGAAGGTCAGCTGGGTGACTTTGTTGTGGGGAAAATGGAGGCAGGAGAATTAGGTATGTTTTCTGCCTTGAATGTGCTTGTGTGGGAGGGGGGTTATATAAATCTTTAAAAATATATTGGGGAAAAGACTTTTTCTAGGAAAGGAACAAAAGTCACTTTCCTAATGAAACTTTAATTTTAAAATAGTTATTATCTAAATATTCCAAATATTAACTGTAGTTCTAATTGAAACTACCCAGGACAAACAAGGTGAATTGATCAACTGTAATAATTTACTGTTTGGCCAAATTCTAGAAGGGAATGCAGAATTTGCTATGAACTGGATCTATGTTTACACTATGATTCAAGATCTGTAGCTGGTTTTATGTACTTGTTAGACATATTGTCTGATTAATGTACTTTTTTTGAATCCAAAGCTGCAAAAATTATAAAAACCTAACCATACTATACACTAATGTAATGACCTCTAAATTTCTGAAAATGCAAGCACAGTCTGTATTTTGCACTTTTGATTCATTTGTACTGTTTGTTACAGGAAAATGTCTTTTCTTGGTTGTATACATTTATGTTAGAAAATAACCTTATAGGCTAATGTTACTTTTGTGAGTGTATATAAAAATCAGTCTGAATCAATCCGCTTTGGGATGAAGTTTTGTCCATTGAAGGACATGCTGGATCAGTCCTAGTCCAGCACCTTAATGTCTTACTAACTCTACTGTGTATGTTTATCTGTATTACACTCTTGTGTACACACTATCCATTCACCCCCTGGCCATTTCTATTTTTACAAAGAACAAACCCAAAAGCAGATGAGGAACAGAGTCTTTACTGTCCTGTTACAAATAGATACTCATCTCCCATAAAAGATTTAGGTTTGTTTTTAATCCCGCCTTTATTGTTTCTATAAATAACTGAAGGCGACAAAGATAACTGATACTCTTTCCTCCTTCTATTTTCCCCATAACAAATCTATGAGGAAAGTTGGGCTGAGGGAGTGACCTAAAGACACCTGGCTTTTCACTCTCAGTTCCCTGGTTTCTGATGCCTTAACCACTACATCAAACTGGCTCCTATGAACCTGAAATTCAAAGTTGGAATATTACAGTATGCTTTCAAAAGTATTCATTTTGGAAGGGAGTTCACTTTTATTTCAAAAATGCATTTGATCATTATATTAGAATAAAGACATTACAATGTTTTATGTTTTGTTTTCTTATAAAATATGCTATCAAACAGAACATTTAATGTATTATCCATAATTTTATTTTGTCCATATCACTTTAGGAAGCTGTGATAATGAGAAAAAAAATGAATCTATCTCCTCCAATAAAATATCTCTGAAATGTCATGAAGAATATAAATCTAATCCACTTTCAGAAATTTGGCCAGTATATTTTATAAACTGCCTTAAGTGGGTCATTTTTTAATGAGGAACATTTGTCCAGATGCACAAAAGTAATAGCACAGAACATGTCCTCAGTTTCATTTGCTGTTCTAAAAGTATTTGATATCTTCAAAATCAAATTTATTCAGTAAATCATCCGTGTACTTTGTGTTAGTATTATAAAAGCTCAGCTATTTCATATAATGACTAGCTGGATCTTAGCTATTATTCAGACTGAAGAATGCTTTAAATGCAATATTTGACAGCTGCAGTTATTCAAAACAGCCTGCTAAAGGTAACATCCAAAACAGCATGTCCAATGTAGTGTCATTGTGCATTACAAAGCAATTTTGTGCTCTGCAGAGTATTTTCTGAAATGTAAACACATCAAACATTAATTTTAAAATTTCAAATCCTTGCATCCTATGTCTTGAAAAGAGTAACAATAATTTAGAGCAGGGATCCCCAAACTTGGCAACTTTAAGACTTGTGGACTTCAACTCCCAGAATTCTCCAGCCAGCTATTCTGGGTGTTGAAGTCCACAAGTCTTAAAAGTTGCCAAGTTTGGAGACCTCTGATTTAGAGTATCATTATGCATCCAAGCTCAATGTATCCTTTCTTCAAGTATTTTAGAGAACAAAATGGTAACTCCACATCTCATTCAGCTGTAACATTTATTGCATTTGTAAAATAGTCATAGGTGGGGAATTTGTAGGTCTCTAGATGCTACTGGATTCCAC